CCAGGCCTCCAAACGCGGACTGCGATTCCAAGAATTGCATTTACCAGATACCCTGTGAGTGCGGAAAATCCTATAGTGGTGACACTAAGAGGCCATTGAATGTTCGCATTGCCGAGCACAGAAGCACACACAGCGAGGGGAAACCAGCAAATCAGGAATAGCAGACCATGTTTGGACCCATCAACACAACATCGAGTGGTCCCAAGCTGAGATCAATCCAATGTTTATCCTAAAAGTATCATTATCTAATAGTATTTCCAAAGTAGCAACAGATGAAAGTGATGTATTCAGAATCAATATCTAGTAAAGGTTTTTACCATGCTTTTTGAAGAGATTTTAGATCCGTAATAAGATTCCTTTTGGTTCGAGAACACCAGATAGATTTGCCTACAACGGCTAAGACTCATATTCTGGTGAGGTCATCGATAATGCTGAGCGCAAACCCAACCCTCCCCGATTCACAGGCAATGTTGCTTGAGACCAATAAATATCATTGAAACAGCGTAGGTGAGGGCGTGGCAAAGTTTGATCACATTAAGCACAAAATAAAATTCAAAAATGTTCAGTCTATCAAACTTCTTGCAAAATTAATCTTGGGACATACTGCATAAAAACATCCAGTATATCGTGAAATTACTTTTAGTCATATTCTGATGATTCTAACTGGGTTACCAAAACGCGCGTCTGGTGACAGCATTCTGTTCTGGTTTGGAAAAGGTTTTTTCCGATCATTAATTTTTTCTACTTACCAACCTTCATAAAAATTAAGAAAACTTATTCGAACAATATCATTTTTGAAGTGGAAATGGATGTATTTCATAAATTTTCCATAAATTATAATCTTAGTAAGATCCAATATTATTTTTAAATTATGATTTCATCATGTTCTACTGACATTTAAATCCACCAAGATAACGATTCAAAGAACAAAAAAAGTACTTGAAGAGATTTTTATCAAGTTTGGTGGTTTTTATTCACTGACTTCTTGAGACGTACTTATTCGATATACGATAAAGATTTGAATAACTCACGTGTGTGACCTATGTTTTCCATAGCAATAATTGTTCAATACCTTTATCTTGTTGAATAGAATTTTCCTCACTGAAAATAAAACTGCTGTATCTTGATTGAACAAGCATGAAAATATTATTGAATAGTGAAACATGTGTCAGAAATTAATTTGGATACTCAACATTTTCTGGGAAAATCACAAACTGAAAATTCTTATGATAACCCATAAATAAATTCAAGGTGACGGTTTATTTGATTTCGAATAGAACTGATTATAAAATATCACGCCCAATTGACTTCCACATGCCACACACAGTCGAAGGCTTCAGAAATATCAAGCGTAACACCTCTTGACTCTTCATATTTCTCGACTGTGGTATTCCAAATATGGGTGGCGTACGATAGAAGTTCGCCTGTTGACCTTTGTTTCCGAAAGCCATATTGATGAAAGCTCAAGATGTTAAAGCCTTCCAAATATTCAAGGATATTTTGGTTTACGGCTTTCTGAGTGATTTTTAATATCTCTGATAGCAAAGCGACTAATCTATAGATCTTTGGAAGATTTTTCGGGCCCTTTGTGGAAATAGACTGACCGCGAGCAATCTTCCAACGAGAATGAAAAACTCCTTCCTTAGAAGACAGGTTGAATAGTCTGCAAAATAATGGTGCGAGTTCATTGGCACACTTTTTAAGTAGGATGACCTGCACTTCATCAGGACCTGATGCCTTGTTGATATTGAGCCTTTTCCAAAATTCGTCTGACTAGACGTTGTCGAAAAGTGATTTCCGACATTGTGGATTCTAGTGTGGCTGGTGCCTTTTCCAGAAAATCGACTGTGGAATGGGACACAAGTTGTGCAGCTAGTAGATTGGCTGTGTCGGTGGTGGAATTGTGAATTTTATGAAGTTTTCATTGAAAGCTTTACCTACTGACTAGAAGAGTCTTGACGCGTTGGGATTGGCAAGCAGTTTATTCCTTATTCTCTGTGCTTCCATTCATTCTAAGTTTGCAGCTATTGCAAGCATTAACAAATCTAGTTCGGTTTTCGGTTCTTGGATTTCTGTGCCACTGCCGATAGGCGAAATTTTTTGAGGCGACAGCTTGCTCGCAAGCTTTGTTGAACAGAGGTTTGCCGTTAAAAGTTCGTTTCATTGAAAAAGGAATATATGCATCCATGGATGATACAATAACTTCTGTGACTTCAAAAGCAAAAGTTGATGGATCATTAGAGCTGAAAAAAACACCTGGTCAGGGAAAATTCGGAAAATGGTTTTGAAGATCCTCCAACAAATCTGTTATGCGAAAATTTGAGCGGGTTATATTGCTCCCCAACATTTATCGGTAATTCACTCAACACTGAAATGAGTTAGGTTAGGTTAGGTCCAAAGTGAGTGGGTCTATAAGACCCTCCACCGCAACCCGCAAGGGTTTATTGTGGCCCACACCTATTCACACTCGACCAAATGAACCCAGCTTCTTAACGAAGCCGATCCGTTTGTATGATTTGTGGTCTTTTATGTCAGATGGTGACAGTACGGCACTGACGAAAACCTGATTTGGTCCCCAGTGGGGTAGGCACAAAGTATATGCTCTGCTGTTTCATCGTCAATGAGGTAGTCGGATAGTCAAGGTGCAAGATTCCCACCTTGATACCCGCGACAAACTTCCCATATTAGGGTTTTTGCACAAGCTACACCTGACGATGTCTCAGACTTAATAGTGCAGAGCTTTTTTACCCCTGCTCATTTGGGGGTTTGTTCCTCCACCTGCGACAGATTATGCGAACGCAGCTCAAGAATTTGCTGCAAGGCGATTTCATTAGGTACCCCGCTCTTAACGACTCAGTCGTTTCCTGACTGCACCACCAAATCTTTTTTTCAGGTTCAGTTATTGGATTAGGAGTTGGAGAGTTGAGAAGCTCGCGCCCGGATCTAAATTTACATGGAGGTCAGTTGAAGTCAAAAGCTCGACATCTATCTCTTCCGTAGACTCGCTCACGATCTAAATTTACAGGTAGGTCAGTAGGTCAACTCGACATCCATCTCCTCTGTAGACTCAGCGTCAGAAAAAAATTTTGAGTTTACTCTGTTCATAAAAGTCCCACGGGTAGCTAGGGAAAGAAGGTCAATTACGGCAGAGCCCCGTATTACCGTGACAAGGCATGTCATTTATCCTCTCGGCACGGATACACACACCTTAGGATTGAGCCATTTTTTGGATGCCATTCAGTTAGAGAATAACAGAAATGATTCTGTCATAACCGTATCCAGCGGGGCTACGTGGAAACAGGCATTCGATGACAGGTTTGCACAACCCCCACATCCCAAGCCAATGCACTCGCCAAAAACAGCATGAACAGTGGTTCAGGCGGTGAAAGATAAACAAGGACAGCCAACTCGCCTTTTGAAAACCTTACGGTGAATGCAAATTTCTGGATTGGTTTTTAAGTATAGATCCAGAAGACTAGCATGTTCCTCGTCATGATCAGGAATCCTGCTTAGTTTATTTAGAATGTTAGTAAGTCCGCTGCTCATTGCAGAAGCCTCAACTTCGCGACCTTGTTCTTTGTTGATATTCAATTAAACATTTCAAACCATTCACTTGGTGAATAGTGTTTGCAAGTAAAGAGAATAGTGCTCTATATTTTGTATCGCGTTGTAGTCGAACGACACGATATATGAATGAAGTGATATTCTGTGATATCATTTCAAATCACATAACATCAGTCTTGGGGTTCTAGAATTTCCTCTCATTGACAGGAGAGATCGCTTCGGATGAAATGATATATTCCAGAATTTCGTCTGAATCAGAATTCAAAATCAAAGCCGGAATATAGAAAATTGAAGGGGTAGGTTGGAGCGGGCCTCTTAGCAATTGCAGTTATCACTCTACTCCCCTATGGACTGATGTTAGAAGGACCCTGCTGACTGTCAAAAATAGTGCCCTCGAATCAGCCTCCATCCGGAGATTCGATTGGGGAGTTATTTTTCCTCCGGAGTATTTTGTCCTTGAAACCGGAAACAACGGCACAACAACGACATATTGCATAAGCCCTTGCAATCATATCTCACCGGGCAATGCCGAGCGGGACCAGCATGTAACATTTATTTTTTATCAACACGCTCATTAAAAAATAAATTTAATAAATAATGGGCGGCATGAATCCCTGTAGCTAGCTAACCTTGCATAAATGAATGAATGAAAATCGTATATATTACAAGTTTTCACAGTTTTTACAATTTTTGTGTGTGTATGTGTTTGTGTAGGACCCTGCTATAGGCTTATTCCCCTTCAAGGTATTGCATAAATATCTGATGGAACTTTTTTGTAGAGAGAATACCAATAAAACAAAATTTTGCACAATTTTCCCAGAAACAAATTCCATAACTTAAAAAGGACTCAATTTGTGCAAAACAAACTGATCATTGCAATGACTTGCTGAGATATTTGAGTTTACTAGTATATTGAAGCCACATCAAAATGTTTTCATGTATATTTTGATTATACATTCTTTATAAATATTTCACTATCCAGCAAACACCATATGGGTCACAAAATATTATTATTGATGTTTCACATCTGCCAAGCGTCCCGTGACGGCTCACAATTTTTTTTACAACGATCAACTAGGTCTGTAGTTGAGTGATATACCTATGTTCAGACTTACATTGGCTGAAAATGTCTATTTAAAATATACTTAGTTGATCAACGCGATTTCAATTGTTAGTATTTAGATTCGCATAAAGACATACATCCAGTAATTTGCGTATACGATACAATAGTCTGGAAAACAGCCTCAAACAATCATTTTTGTCATGAAAATACAAAAAGTTTTCACCAAGGTTAACGAGATATACCTGAATGCTTATGAATTCCACTTAATACTTGATATGATGGAATATTACGTAGCTTGAACTGTTTGAATGAATTGATTATCTGTGAACTGTTTTATTGGTCAGATGGATCTATAAAACACCTACTACCTGAGGTACAATAATTGTAGCTTTTCTGTTATCTTTCCACAACTGAATCAAGGCGTTTAAGAAATGTGGTTTCTGCTAGCTTTATCGGCATTGTTTGTTTCTGCCAACAGTGTGAGTAGTTTTGAAATATCAGGGTTAATGATTCGAGGATTTATTTTCATACTGCAGTTGTTTTGATCCCATAAACTACACCTCACGATTTGAGTAATTTGATTCAAATCACTGTTGAAAAAGCTACTGTGTTAGCAAAACATGTCGTGATATATTTTTCAAATAAAGTTTATGGAGATCAAATCGTGGGGTGTAGTTTAAGAAGTTACTATAGATCTTCATGAAGCAACGATGAAAAAAATCAGTTCTGATTGATGAAAACAATTTTAAAGTAATTCAAGAACAAATTCGTTGCATAAGTTGAATAAATATAAATATATGGTCTTCAATCTGAGTCTGATTTTCCAAAAAATTTCTACAAATATGTTCATCCTATGAGTTCTCAAATTGTTGTGAAAGGGTTCAACAAGTAGATGCAACATCAAAACATGTTTCTGTTGATATTAATTACGTTTTAGATGGAAGTATGAATGACTAGTAATTGTATTGATATTTTGAAAAATTGATTCCAGTATGTACTGCAACATTGAAAAAAATCGAAATAATCTTAAGAATCCGTGAGGAGAACCCAGCAGGTTCTCTCACGATGATTCTTGGTTTCAATCTGAATGATAATGCTGTGTTTTTGTTTTATACATATTTCACCCCATATGTTCATATTAACATATCAATATTCAGAAATCACAATGACATTCGATTCAAATTATTTTTATCAATACACCGTGAAGAAGTTAAATTCCAGAAATTCATAGTGGGATAGCGATTGAATGCCCTATAGACGATTTTTAAAACGCGTACAGTAATGATTCACTCAAAACAAATAACTTCATTGGCGTGCTAACATTTTCAGTAGCGATAAATGAAAATTATCTCGTTACTGTTAATACAAATATCAAAGATTTGCCCTTTATCGCAGAGAAGAACAATCATTTCTTTGGTCAAAGTTTCCGGTCTCTCTGTCCAATTCATCACATTGGTGTAGGAGAGACCGGGGTTAGAAGTCACATTTTTTGTCTTTTGCATTTTTAGTGTCCTTTTCCATAAATTATCAATGATATTTTCTTATCAATAGATAGTGTTTTTAAACTCTTTTGAAAAGTAATGTGGAAAATAAAGTGTAATATTCAAATGGTGGTCACAGTATATGGGGTAGTTAGTCACATAGGTAATTGAGAGGTATAAAAACATTCATATGGATATTTTCATCGAAAGTGAAATGAATTAAATAATGAATCATATTCAAGGAGAAAATAAGTGTCTCATTCGTAAGAAAAAAAAATTGCTCTAAATGAATAACTTTCATCTGGTTAGGTTAGGTCCAAAGTGAGCGGGTCTATGAGACCCTCCACCGCAACCCGCAAGGGTTTATTGTGGCTCACACCTATTATCACTCGACCAAACAAACCCAGCCTCTTAACGAAGCCGATTAGTTGGTATGGTGAGTGGTCTATCAGGTCAGATGGTAATAGTACGGCTCTGCCGAACTCTTAAAGACCTAATTCGGTCCCCAGCTGAGTATATGATCTGTTAATGAGGTAGTCGGATAGTCAAGTTGCAACATTCCCACCTCGATACCCACGACAAACTTCCCATATGAGGGTTTTTGCACGTCAGTTACACCTGACAATGCCTCAGATTCAGCCGTGCAGGGCTTTTTTGCCTCTGGTTGTGGTGAAACCTCACTTGAGCGTAAACGTTTGCCAACCTGCTCGTGGGCGGTTAGTTCCCCCAACTGAGACAGATTCTGCGTACACCGCAGCTCTCGCTCCTGAAGTTAATTTGAAGGGAGGTTAGTTGTAGGCGTAAACTCGACATCCATCTCCTCTGTATACTCGCTTCTGAACTTAATTCACAGAGAGGTCCGCTGAAGTTGTAAACCCGTCATCCATCTTTTCTATAGACTGGCTCCTGAAGTAAATTTACAGGGAGATCAGTTGGAGTCGTGAACTCGACATCCATCTTCTCTGTAGACTCGCTCCTGGACTGAATTTACAGGGAGGTCAGTTGGAGTCGTAAACTCGACATCAATCTCCTTTGTAGACTCGCTTCTGAACTAAATTCACAGGAAGGTCAGTTGGAGTCGCAAATTCAACATCAATCTCCTCTGTAGACTCGCTCCAGAACTAGATTTACAGAGAGGTCCGTTGGAGTCGCGAATTCGACATCTATTTCCTCTGTAGACTCGCTCCTGAACTGAATTTACAAGGAGGTCAGTTGGAGTCGTAAGCTCGACATCCATCTTCTCTATAGCCTCAGCATCAGAAAGAATTTTTAAGTTTACTCTGTCCTTAAAGGTCCCACAAGTAGCTAAGGAAAAAAGTCAATCACGGCAGAGCCCTGCATTACCGTGACAAGGCCATGCTACGACGAGAGGGCGACCGGTATCTCGAAGGTTCCGTAAAGACAGCTGATAGGCTCGGTGTCATTCATCCTCTCGGCACGGATACACACACCTTAGGATAAAGCTATCGTTATGATGCCATTCTGTTAGGGAATAGCAGAACGACAAGTGATTCTGTCATTCCCGTATCCAGCGGGGCTACGTAGACGCAGGCATCTGATGGCCGGTTTGCTCAACTCCACATCCCATGCCAATGCACTCGCCAAAAAAAGCAAGCACAGTGGTTCAGGTTGTGGAAGATAAATAAGGACAGCCAACCTGCCTATCCATCTGGTACCTTCGATACCAAAAATTAAGGTCCATCAGGCCGCAATGCTTGTAAACTAAATATACCCATCCTACCGAAATTATATCTAGTCTGTATAAAATTCAGTGAATATTCGAATTCGCAATTATTGCAAATGTAATCTGGCTAATGTAACGCTGTTTCTCGAATATTCTTGGCAAACGAACCGAAATGAATACTTGGAGGTATGGAGGTAAGTATGTATTTTTCTAATTCTTTCTTCTATTTGTCGATGACAATTTGCTTACAGCTTTGATAACCAATTTTTGTTGACGGTATTGATGACACCGTGTTGCTTATTTCTTTGACAGTGTATTTTTTATGAAACAGTGTTAGACTGCGATAATAATCAATCCCAAAAACACTTTTCTCGCAGCACGCAGTATCACTTCGTGAAAAACTAGTCAATCAGACTTTCTCTTATGATGACATGCCATTTCTATGATTTTCTTCAAAACGAACAAAATTGTATGCAGAAGAAGCTCAAAAAGCCAACAAAAAATGTAGCACACATATACAGGGTATTCCATATTCGATGGTCTATGAGACTCATCTAGAGAACCAAAAAAAGATGAGAGATTCAAATTTTGGTTACGGATTAAGTGGCTGTGATCTGTCGTTTGAGAATATTTTCATCACCGCAATGTTGTCTCATTACATGTAACAACTTGGAAATTTCAAATAGAAAACCCTGTATATTGAATCATTTTTCAATTTGTTGTGGAATTGTCCGTGGTGGTAGTACGACTGACTCACGATCGGAAGGTCCTGGGTTCGATTCCCGCCTCGAGCAGATATTTTTCTCGAGAGAATTTATTTGGTTGAAGCTGGGATGATTCTGCAACCGTGTTGAGAATTACATGTTGAAAGATGAGACCTCGTTAGTCAATGAGATATGAATTCTTCTATAATTTTTTTGCTTCTTTACAAATATAACATTTCAAACACAACATTTGGTGAAAGATGTATTATCGAACAAATCGAATAATGAATAATAACTGTACATTAGTTCAGAAAGGTTTAATGGAATACATGAATGAAATTTCACAGTGGGTGTATGACAAACATTACCATTTTGACACAAGACACACTTTTCAAAATTGAATTGATAACAAAAATAGTTCTACACTAGAAAACAAGAGATAATATTGTGAAACTAGCAATTATTTGATATTTGATAATGATATGACAAAAATTCAGTAGCTCAGGTGCTTGAAATGCTGACCATTCACTTGTAAACATTGATGGATTGATGTTATTACGTGATCAGTCGTGGCTCTGCGGATTTTTGATGGTTTGAAGTTCTAGAGCACACATCTAACCCCATCTTTCAGTTCCTGTTGCGTAGTGATAGGTGTTTGATACATAAGTTCAGGAGCAAATTGTCAAGAAAATCACTCACATTCGATCTCAGAATATCTAAATATTTTTCGGGATTCAAATTTTCTTCATTAATGCAAATAGAAACTTCATCATCCATGAGCATACAAAAAACAAATCTAAATTTTGGTTGGAATCCCCTTTGCTACAAAGTGATTATTTTGACATTTGAAGTTTGGATCTTCGTTTGTCTATCTTCGTTAGTGCTATTTCGCACAATTCTACCCGTTTTAGCGTATCATCTCTATGCCAAGCTTGCAGCCTAATCAATTTATAATCGTGCATTTTATGTTCTCGTAAAATTCTCTATATAGAATATCGAGATTTTCCCAAATCAACTGCAGCACTAGATACTGATGCATGAGGATAAGCATAAGAATATCCTAAAATGTTTATTTCATTTCTCATCACCAGTCACTGGACTCACTCGATTTTTTGAGGCACAAACTTTTCCATAGTTGAATTAATTTCGTTCAAGTCTTCTGAATTTTCTTTTATTCCTTGCCGGTAAATTAGCAAATAACTCAATTCATCTTCTACAGGTCCTTGATATGATTTTAACGCACCCGCCGTGAATATAAAACAAGTTTATGATTTCATAATTCGAATATTTACTATCATCCATCTTCACTACTTCAATAAGACAGTCGGACAGTTTACGTTTGGGAAAGCTATTGTATAGCGAAACGCGTGTCGCGGTTTTTTCAAAACTCTTCATAGGAAAAACATGCAACAAAATATATCAAATAGTTTCAAGCAAGTTATTGTCAAATTTATTATTTTGTATTTTAAATCAGACTTGGATCGTGACCCACCATTATCCTTGCCGAAGTTCAGATGCCAAATTCAAAATTATTGTTTAAAAATCTTTTGATATTCGAGTAGATGATTGGATATNCTTTCGAAACAAATACTTCTATATGAACACTGAATTATACAGAAGATACTTTCCTCTACTCAGTTTGTATTTCAAACATTCGTTGTGGAATAAAAATCAGATATCATTCACATGAGTTCTAATTTAAAAGACTGGTAACAAATTGAACTTACATGGAACACTGTCATCCTCTGTCTGTTTAATTTGTTTAAAATCTGTTTTTCCGTTAATCAGCTGTCGCCCCCATACGAACGACAACTCTCAAAAGTTGATAACTTGTGCGAGCTAAAGACTAACGAGGTCTTACCTTTTAACGTGTGATTCCCAACACAGTATACATCGATGTTCGCCTTGAGACACTTGCCCTAAGGCTCTTCAGTACCAAATTGAATAACATTATAGAAAATACACACAATTCATTAATGGATTACGATTTTAAATGTCACGGAATGAGCTTGCTCTCTTTATGTCATCGATGACATCGTAATGACATTCATTCACCTACTTGATTTGATCCCAACCAAGAGGAATCTTATTTGAATTGAAGGGGTTATTTCTAGGAGTGATTAATTTTTGGGAAAAAAGTTTTTGGCTTTCTACTACTCCATCTTGATACAAATTGATGAATGAATTGATCTGTTTTGAGAAAAATCAAAATTCACCTCGTTAAGCAGACAGCTTAACATGGTTATATCACGATGAAAACGTTAGTCAGGAACTTTTGAACAGTAAACTTTTATACATTTGAAGTTGCAATCAGGATGGAATTGGAAAAGGGTCCTGATGAATCTCCTTAGAAAAAAGTACTTTTGGTCGTTATACATTATGTTTTTGATCTACAACTTATCGTAAAACTTATTTGAGAACGTGATTTTCCAGTGTTTTCAAATATATTTTTCATAAATGAACGGTGAAGGTAGCTACAAAATAAATTTCGATGATAAGTAAAATTGTTTGAACTTTTTATTTCGTTCAAGTTTTTCATCAGGACATGTAGATCAGAAGTGATATGCATTTGAAAAATCATATTCAACAATGTTCAATCCAACCCTGACATATTTGCAGTGAAAGCGTTTATATCCATGCTAAGAAACGCACTTTCGGGGGGAAGACCCTGTCAATCTTCAACTTTTACAAATTCTGGCTATTCAAAACTCATATTATAGGTAACCTATGACAATTCAAGAAAATCGAATATCTACTTTAATTTAGGTTACCTTTAAGTAATAGCATCAGGCCGTATTCTGAAATTAACCTTTTTGAAATTTTCCTTACCAACCCTGAGTTACTCATTTTTTGTTTCAGGCAAGCCCTACGACTGTGTCCGTCTACTACGAAAGTCTCTGCCCATATTGCATAGATTTTATCAGAGATCAGCTCGCTCCAGCCTACTATAAAATCGGAGATAAGATAAAAGTGGACCTGATACCTTTTGGAAATGGCGATGTGAGTAAATAAGAATGACAAATATCAATAAGTTGAATAGTTTAGTGATCCAATAATTTTTCTGAAAGAAGGTTGATTTGGTTAAAATATCAATTTTGCGCGAACATAGGACCAACGAGGTCTTACTTTTAACGTGTGATTCCTAACACGATCACTGCCTATACCATGTGGTTAGTGATTGGACCTGAAAAATGGTATATCATCATAACAGCTTACACCCTAAAGCATCTGGTCTACCGATATTTCATCGTTGCTTAGGAACCTGACTCCTAACCTTCCATGTATCCAAAAAACTCTTAACAAGCCCCAAAGGCTTTTTGCATCTTCTCTCTCATCTTTTCATAATATCCACTTCAATGATATTGTTTTCTGTAATAGTTTGTACAGTTCCGACATTATATGTTTGTCATATTTTGCTAGATATAATTTGAGCCTATTAATTTGTCTCCGTTTTGTTCTGTTGCTGTTTTTTTATTGCATTGTCTGCTAATGCTGCTGAGATATCCATTAGCTGTATAATTATCTTTGGTCAGTCTCTGCTTTGATACAGCAGTTTTTCCGTTCAGTTCCTTGATGAAGCTTTCGGTGTATTTTCTTGATATTCTCTGTATTTTTATCGAAAAATTTGCTACTCTGTCCAATACCACAAATCCTGGTATTTCCACAACGCGTTTAGCGCCAATTTGTGAAGCTGTATTCAGTACACTCATTAGATGTACATTTTGAAACATTAGTGTCCAAGCATCCACTATGAGATCAATTCCCCACTTCCTTCAGTTCTTCTGGGCATTCTCAGACCTATCTTGATGTCACTGTTGATCTCCAACTGATTTTTCTGACGCTTTGGAAGATTGCATTCACTGTCGCCTGTAGAAATCATTGATCGAGCTGTAATTTAATTTCTCCTTACATAATATATTTAAGCTCTTGTTTTTTCGACGGGTTTTCATCCCGTCTGTATACCGCCAAAAGAGAGGCTAGATAGAGTGCATATAAACTTGTGCACATTGCCAATTGCACATATTAATTCAATGCAGAGTGCAACAGACTGTTAGTTGACACTGAAAGTCACAGCATTCTGAAAATGACCTCTGACTTTATGCATCCAACTGTCAACTACGAACTACCTTATAAAGTACTGTTCCCGAGTATAAAGGACTGTATTCTCCGGGAGGAGGATATATTGAGGGCAGATAGTTGTTGCTTCACAGATGAATGAAAAACACCTTTCGGTTCTGGTGCAGGTGTTTTCAGTGGCAGACCTAGGACAGAGATATCAGCCTGCCAAGGAACCTGAGCAAATGTATTTCAAGCGAAAATTCACGCTATTGAATTGTGTTCGGAGACATGGAAGAATCCAACCTCATACACGAGTCGATGAAAATTATCTCGGAAAGTTGAAAGCTCTTTGCTCCAACCGAACAACGTCTGAATTGGTAGTAAATTACCAAAAACGACTGTCCTCGATAGGAAGACTCAACAGATTTTCTCTGGTCTGGGTTCCTGGCCATACTGGCCTGGAGGGCAATGAGGTTGCTGACACCTTTGCAAAGGAGGGTGCTGCAAGCAGCTTCATCGGACCAGAACCTGTCATTGGCATCGCTTTAGGCTTTGCGCAACAAAGATTGAACACTTGGATGGCAACCAGATTTAAGGACTTCTGGCAGAATCGTCTAGGATTGGCTCACTCCAAGGCGGTTATTCATCCTTCGAAGCTTGATACCAAACAGTTGTTGGACTTTAGTAGGGATGAACAACGTTGCCTAACAGGCCTTCTCACAGGTCCTGTCCTTTGAATAATCATATTCAGAGACCCGGACTATCAGAAAACAGTGTGTGTCGCCTCTGTTTGTGAAATAATGAAACAGCAGTGCACATACTTTGTGTTTGCCCCGCTGGGGACCGAATCACGTTTATAGAGTTCAGCAGAGCCGTACTCTCACCAGCTGATCTGAAAGACCACTCACCACACAAACTAATTGGCTTCGTTAAGAAGCTGGTTTTATCTGGTCGAGTGTGAATAGGTGTGAGCTACAATAAACCTTTGGGGGTTGCGGTGAAGGGTCGAATATACCCACTCACTCTGGACATAACCTAACCTGACCTATACCACCAAAAACTGTTAACTTTGTTGCGGAAGTATACATGTGATCGATGAACATATTTCATACCTGTTGAGTTCATAACTGCTGTCTCTTGGCGTGCGTTTCGCCAAAGCCAACCAACTTAGCATCATCATGAGATGACAGTTCTAGTCATCTCGAACATTTTTTTTGGCGAACCGCGCGTCGAAGACAATGAATTCATTTTCATATGGGAAAAGTGCTTGGTACAATAGATTACGCCAGAGTTCCTAAATCTACCTAATGAACTAGATGTATCTATACGTTTCCCGGTTACTGACAATTCTGATTATCAAGGACGTTCTCTCGTCCAAAGAAGTCAAAACGAGAGAAGAGAATGTGTCCAGAGAAATGGTTTTCTTGTCACAACGACAGAGGAATTTTTCATCGAGGCAAGACGAAAAAATGCATTTTCTTCTCTTGTCTCGACTGAAGGTTACACTAATTAAACCAGTGAATACAATATAGAGGAAAAAGATTTTCACAGAATGGAGAATATTCACATGGAAAGTTCTCGAAGCCAAATCATGAAAACTGAGTAAAAAGACATAAGGAAAATAAAATGATAATAAGAAGTTTACGCACCGACAGTGGTTATGTTGAAATTCGTAAGATCAGTTTATATATGAATTGCTTCGAGATACTTTCGTTGAATATATAATAGAATGGAATATTTTCAAATAATACCAAATTTTTCAGGTTGATGAAGTTAATGGAAAATTGATCTTCATTTGTCAACATGGAGAATCTGAGTGTTACGCAAATAGAATACAGGCCTGTGCATTGGATTTAGGAGTCGGAAACTCTGGAATAGAATTTGCATTGTGTGCTATGAGTTCATCCAATCCATCCAGTGAAGAAATTTTGAAACAGGTAAAAGTTCAATGATTTTATATATTCTTCATTGGAATATTTCAAATTCAGACTGATTCAAATTGAGTGAGAATCATTGCTATTTTTAGTTTTATTTTGGACATAACTTGTCTTCACTTGGCGCTTTCTGTTTTCAGATTTGAATAAAACAATGTGTGTGTGAGATATCATTGGAATTTTTCATTCATTTGAAGGACCTATTGATGCCATTTTGTTTGGAATATAACATCGTTCAAATGTCTGTCACGGTTTCTCTAGGTGAAGCGTATCCTAGACGTCCAATTTGCCATGCATCTGGCGCATAAATTTGACTGATGGCTTGGATTCTGTTGGCTTGAGAACCGCTGTGCTTTGTGGTCTATTCGCGACTCAAAAAAACCCCAAGGGAGTCAAATCGCATGATCTTGGTGGCCAATTCACATAACCTCCACATGATATGAACATGCCCTGAAATCGCTCGTGCAAAATATCCAATGTGGCAAGAGTTGTGTGGCACGTAGCACCGTTCTGTTAAAACCACATATCGTTGGTGTCAAGATCAGCCATGTCAGGCCATAAGAAGTTGGTAGTCATCGATCTATAGTGCTCGAGTTGATAGTGGTGATCTGACCAACGTCGTTCTCAAAGAAATATGGACCGATGACACCACCAGCTCAAAATCCACACCAAACAGTGACTTTTAAGGGATACATTGAACGCTCTTGGATCTCCTGTGGATTGGTATCATCCCAAATTCTACAATTTTGTTTGTTCTCGTACCCATTCATCGAGAAATGGGCCTCATTGCTGAAGATGATTTTTTGATGAAAATTGGGGTCAATTGACAACTGCTCCTGAGCCCAATCAGTGAACACACGTCGGTGTCTATGGTCTTCCAATTCGTGAGTTAGTTGAATTTTGTACGGGTGCAGGCCCAAGTCACGACACAAAATCCGCCTAGTTGTGGTCTGCAGATGACCGAGTTTCTGTGAGTGAAGCAAAATCGACTGTATCGGATTCTCCTGCACACTCTCACAGACATCGGCGATGTTTTCGTCAGATATTGCATTTGGTCGACGTGCAGGCGTTGTTCGGTTGTTTACTGAACTAGTGGACTCAAATTCATTCACCACATCGCGAATTGCCTTCTTGGTAGGACGATTATGGCGACCGTAAAATGGGCGGGGCGCTTACGTTGCACAAACAGAACATCCATTTTGATGGATTGATTTCATAGTATTTACGTGTTTTTTAATGCCATATCCGTCTATGGTGATTTGGCGAAACAGACTAAATAAATGACAATTATTTTGGAAGATGTACCTTCAACAAGATAGTCGTTATAAATTGTCGAATTTTGGAAGTCCTTGTTGAAAGACCCTTCAGTTCAATAACTGACATATTCATGATCGATGGAATGCAAAATGAACAAACAATTAAGTGAAACTTTCTTGATATTTGGTAGCTCTCTGAAGTCCTTAGTTTTCCTTAAAATATTTCTCATGATCATGGTCTCTAGAGATTTTGACTGTCATTTTGAACAATGTTTCGGATGTACCTAACATCATGAATTTGCACTATATTTTCAGCTCATAACTACAGAGGAACGTATTAGCTTTCAGTGGCATCAATGAATGGTTAATGAATATTGAGACCTAGCTCTATTTGAAGGTCTCCCCGATTTCGCAAGGTCATCCTTTTTACCATTTTTCTGTAAGAATATTTGAGGAAAAATTTATATAGAACGCGACGCTGATGTTAACTTCTTGTACATTATATAACATATTTTATATGATCCTATTTATAATATCTCACTATTTGCATTTAATAAACATGTCACAATTTTTTCAGTGTGCCATTGATCACAAAATTGACTGGGACCAGATAGAAAATTGTTATCAATCTAAAAAGGCTGATGATTTGCTCATGGAATACGCTAACAGAACCATTTCTGTATCACCCCCAATCTTAGGTACGCCTGCAATAGCACTGGACAACCATTATATGGAGACTCTAACAGATATTGCTCAGATGAGTTTGCAAGAAACCATAGAATTCCTTCAGAGTGGAGGCACTTGCTACTGGTGTAAATATGGTATGGAACTGAGTTACCTGACTGAAAATCCTGCAATGAATATCTACACTTGTAAAAATTATTCGAGTACCTATGAAACTCCCAATCTCAATAAATCAATTTATTAATTGTTCAGGTTGCGCTTCAGTAAATTGGAAACAAAAATCAAAATATACATATGTTTTCAAATAGATAGTAACAGTATCCTTATGAACAGGTCCGAACAATGGGATTCCATATCTATTTCAGAAAAACAACGAATAACCCAGCTAATGCCAAACAAAGCTGAAGAGGACCAAATGAAATTAATTTCTGCTTTTCATATATTGGAAGTTACTTGCGACGAATCTTCCAAATGAAAGACGTTGCACAGGTGCCTGATGGTTTGACTTCAGGTTTCTGTGCGACATTAGCTGAGTTAGTTGTTGTTTTTCCGTCGGGTATCTGCCACACGTACCTACAAAGTCGTAGGTCTACATGAGAGGCAAGGGGAACCTGAACCTGACACATGTAATATGCACCTTTCTGGAATATAATCATTATTTTGACTCCTACCCCGGTATATGTGTTTGAGGAGTGGATATTCCACTGAATCACCTGCAGAAAGAGTTCACGACTAGTAGGGAGGATATTTGTTTGGTAGGGATACTTAGATGGCTCACTCCGTTCTGAAGAGACATGCCCAGTACTGATGATGGGGCAAGTATCCCGAAACCGTTCCATCGGTTGGTCGTACCGGGCAAATGAAATTAATTTCTGCTTATCAAAGGGGTAGTAACTTGCGACGAATCTTCCAAATCGAAGACGTTGCACAGGTGCCTGATGGTTTTACTTCAGCTTTCTGCGCTGCATTAGCTGGGTTAGTTGTTTTTCCGTCGGGTATCTGCCACACGTACCTACAGAGACGTAGGTCTGCATGAGAGTCAAGGGGTAAGGTGTTTTTCACCTAAACATGGAGCATGTCATATGCCCCTCTTCGGAATATAATCATTATTTTGACAATCACACCGTAGTATGTGTTTGTGAAGTTGTTTCCTGGCTTTGTCTGCAGGTGGCGCAGTGGACTTTTCCAGTGACAAGCTGGAATTACATTTGTTTGGTCGAGATACTAGACAGTTCCCTCAGATCTGAAGAGACCCTGCCCAGTACTGATGATGGGGCAAGTACCCCGAAACCGGTCTATCGGTTGGTCGTACCGAGCAAATAAACTTGCGACGAATTTTCCAAATCGAAGACTTTACACAGGTGCCTGATGGTTTTGCTTCATCTTTCTGCGTGGCATTAGATTTCATAGAAAGATAACGTTTTCCCACAGTATCATATTAATATATACAGTGCTTTTCTTTAATGTCCCCCTTATATTTTTTAAACGGGTCAACTCAAAAAATTGAATTATGAGATAATAAGATTAAAGCATAAATACTTTACTTTGAAGTGAAATTAAGANATTTCATTATCTCAGATTTCAATTTTTTGAGTTGACCTGGGATTAAAACCTGGGCTTTAAACAATTTCAATGTCAAATAGTTCAACTTAGTTCAGTCCGGCTTCCCGAGACACACAATTTTTTTTTTATATCACTGATATTATTTGATGATGAAGAAATGGTGATATAGTTATTTGGGAGATTTTTCTTGCCCCTCCTGAATACAGGCTGGAATCAAGAGTTTAGAGAGAAATACATTTTTTTAAAGATCGAAGGACTTGAAAAATTGTTCTTTGGCACACTTGCAATGCCAAATATTTCATCAGATTTGTGATGGAATTTGCCGATACTTGAAAGAAGACGGCAACATTATGTTAATCCCAAACAGAGGCTCTGTTGATTTTGAGATGCTGTCAAAAAAATAATTTGGTTTTGTAGGGTATGGTTGGTGAAAGTTGTTTCTATCACTGCTGTTTTCAATGAAAATTATCGATTTTTCAAATTTCACCCGTCCTACGAGTAAATTGTAACTTTATATTGCCTAAATTGACAAAAAGTCATTATCTTCTTACTTATATGGATTCTAACTGAAAATTTCTGCAAATATAAAAAAATACAAGTTTTTCTGTTCATTCGCATTTTCAGCCAAATTTTTCTATCCTATTTTTACTATCATTTCATCTGAGAGAAGGTGATTCAACGAAAAAAATACCACCAATAATTACAAAAAACAGATCTTTATATTTCTGAGTTTTTACCTGCATCGATACTTTGACTCCTTGTCACATTCCTTCGACTTCTGTATCCAGCGGTGCAGCAGCTTCATCAGCAGAATTATCAAAAAAAAAACGAAAATACAATTATTTGGGAGATTATTTCATTTTTTATGCAATGGGAATCAAAACATTTGGTACCTTAGGCTCCCAAGCATTCGAGTTCATTCATGTAATCGGCATTAGGATCTCCAAAGAGATGAATGACCCATTGATTAAAAAAATCAGCATTCTGATTCAAAGAGGAATTGCAGCTTCATGTTCAGGTACAATTCCCTAATCAAAAACACTAAGTGGATTATCTATGTTTTCCATGAACAGAATATATCAGCATCTACCTATGATGGTACGGCCAATCCAATCCTATCCTCATCGCCAATCGAACATTTCATTAATCTCTTTCTCCGATACCACTATCCAATTCTCATGTTTTTACGCATCGTAACGAATATGTACAGTCAGTGCAAGAATTGGAGTTGTGCAGTGTGGTGGGAGACTCGCAGCAAAACGGTCAAGCTTTAACAGAAGAGAAAGTGGGAACTCTAAATGTGGCTCAGTTTAGTCCTCTGGTTGAGCCCTCACAGTCCCCAGAAGAACTAATATCCAATTCAGTTTCAAGCAGTTTAGCTTCGAATTCCTCATCCCACCGATCCAGTTACATTAGATCGGTGATACATTCTTCAGTCAGAACTCTTGGGTTTAATGGATTGAAAAATATTGGAAACACCTGTTTCATGAACAGTGTAATCCAATGTTTATCAAACACGAGACGGTTGCTGAAATATCCAAAAAAGGATGCATACCTGAAAGATATCAATACTAGTATTTCTAGTATGAAAGGTGTTTTAATCAAAGCGTTTGCAGAAGTTATCAAGGAATTGTGGACAGAAGATTCATCAGATAGAGTAATTAGCACAGTCTATTTTAAAAGTCAGATTCAAAGATTTGCCCCTCGATTCATGGATTCCGCCCATCAAGACGCCCAGGAATTCCTTAGATATCTTTTAGAAGGTTCACATGAGGACCTCAACAGAATTACTGAGAAACCTGAACCGATTTAACGGAGATTGACGAAAAATTGACAACAGCGGAAAAGCACAAGAGTCCTGGCTAAGATATTTGAATATGAACAACTCTAAGATTGTAGACAATTTCGTTGGTCGATTAAAATCCACTGTGAAGTGTACACACTGTGGATACTCATCAGTAACCTTTGATCCATTCTGAGATTTGTCTCTGGGATGAACTGAGTTCATCACATTGCTTAGATTCTTTCACAAGAGAAGCCACCCTGGATGCAGATGAAAAACCAACGTGTTCGGAGTGGAAGATATGAGCAATCATGCAGCAGACAATGTGGCTCTTTGTCGTTATAATATATATGCACTTTCAAATCACAGTGGGACTACTTGCAACAAGCAATATACACCATATTGCAGATACTCAAATGATTGCACGTGGCATGAATACAACGATTGACACGTGTTCACCAAAATCGCTTGTGAGTGATGAGGAAGATGTCCTCGTTTATGAACAGGAGGGAACGAAGCAATGCTTTACTAGTATTTTCATTGAGTGAAATGAGGTCAAACTTGAAGCAGTTCAACTTCACAATGAAATTTCAAAAGGTGGACTGCAGTTTAGACCACATTCAACACAACCATACTGTATATTTTTGAAAATGATTTTTTTGAAATATTGACAGATTGATAACTCAAGGATATTTCAATTTTCGGTACGTGATCAATCACAAAAATATAATATAACCAAGGTCAACGAGGTGACTGATATTTACTTATGATTTCCATTCAATAGTTCTTATCTGATATAAAATTGAAAACCTATGGCTTGAACGAACTGATGTCTGTAGAATATTCCTTTGTTGGATAATCGTCTTCCTCCTGTTCTCCTGTTCAAGACAAAACAACGTAAGGCAACCATCCTCAGGAATATCATGTGTCCTAACATCTAGCTTTGAAAACTATCAAAGTTACTTCTTCAATACAAACTGTTCAATGTTACCATGGACCCAATATAAACAATCAAAGATCTTTCATTAATTTAATGTCTTCTGTTAATAAATGACACAGCTCTTCACGCCGGCAGGCTCCATATATTCCGAAAATAGTAATAACTTTTTTCATCAATTATTTTTCACCTCTGGACTTGTTTATTTTTTGGGCCTATAACTTTGAGAATGCTTGAGATATATATGCTTGGAATAAAATTCCAATGAAATTGGAATATGCGATGTTGTGCTGCTGAGTCGATTTTTTTGGTATCAATTCAATTGAAGCTCTTTTTGCAGCCTCTTCAATATCGTCAGGAACACACAATTCCTCACTATTGTTCTCTATTATGCAAGACATCAAACACCAGCAAGAACTTTAAATGTGACTCTAAATGAATCAATTCTGTTTGTTGGTAATCAGGTGATTCGGAGTCACCTGACACGGCCACTTCATAGCAAATGCGATAACACGTAAATAGTTAACTGACAAGACATGTCAGAACGTGTTTTTATAGAAATATTGAATTTATCTATTTTATTATGAAAACAAGCCAGTTGTTGAAAGTAAGTTTTAATTTTGTTCGGAAATTTCACTCACAAAATAAAACCTTACTTTCTACATATAGGTAAAAGTACCTTGGGAATGTAAAAATTTTTGGCAGGATAAAGTTACCGCAATATTTCAGAAATGCACATTTTCGAAAAACATACTGTAACTCTGAAACGGTGATAGATATTGATATGTGGTTTTCACCATTGAGTTTGTCATGAAATTTTTCGCCCAGTCTATTTTGAAAACAAGAGTTTCCTTTTGAAAGTATCCAATATGGCCCAATCTGTACGTCTAGAATATTCCAAAGAATTCGATAGTTGAATGATACGCAGGGTGTTGCATTTAAAAACGGAAAGTCGATATTGTTTATCATTACAAGTCGTATGGAAGTTTAAAAAGTTTTAGTTGAAAAACTGCACAACTGTGAATAATAATCGACGTGTCTGAGCGCTTTCTCGAACACACTGATAAATAATGTGTAACGAGTATTAACGAGCGAAAAAAGTTAATCAAATGAAGAACATTGTAGGACTTTGGAAAAATACATTGAAAACTATGATTACTGAAGAAATCGTCATTAATATGACAATTTCTTGGTGGGTAAGTGAACAATGAACTATAACTCAATACTTTCAGACCATTTTCATATGAGTAAATTCATTATTCCACAGTTATATTTGAATCATTTTTATCAACTAGTGAGTCTTGAGATTATACCTATTCCATAATTATTTCTTCATTTCATGCTCAATCATCTTACTGACAGTATCTTTAAGGAAATATAATTTTTATCAAAAAAAAAAACACAAAAGCCTGAACTCGGAAAGTGGAAACGAGTGTACCCAACCAAAAATATGTAATGTGGCGAAGAAATGGATATTTTTCAAAATTTCTTTACCTTATTACAAAATTTCTTCTTATTTCATTCGATTTTATATGTATTGATATTATATAATCTACAACAGGTGATATTATCAGGATCAAAAAGAACAAGCATTTAGAGATCATTTTATGCGATGAAGAATTGTTCAGTTGCAATTCAAGGCACATCTTGTTAGTCTAACATTCCATGATTTTTATGAACCCTCACCAAACAATAATGAATGAAAAGTGTTTGTTATAAAATTTCTGTTTCTTTGTATATCAATTCAATGCAGGAGGTCTTATGAAGAATAAATAAGTTTTTTTAAGTGAATATATCTCTCAAATAGAACCTATTCATTAGTGATTTTTTTACACGCTTCATATTAGCTTCATCTGTATGTATGTTTGTTTGTAACTCACAAGCTCGGGATCCGTATTTGACAGATTTATCGACATTATTGCTTGCTCTATTCGCGGGCAGATGGCGCTGTACGTAACCTTCTTGATATATTGACATTATTGCTTGATCTATTCGCGGGCAGATGGCGCTGAACGTAACCTCCTTGATATATCGAAATCATTGCTTGATCTATTCGCTGGCAGATGGCGCTCTACGTAACCTTCTTGATATAATTCGAACTCATTTCACATGTACTTCTTTATTTGAAAACAGTATATTTTCATTGACACGCGCGCCTGCTGCCTCATTTGTAATCCTGAAAAATCAGTATAACAATAGATTCTTGTTTTAGATACTATTACTCAAGAATTCAGGAAACAAGATTTTCGGAGAAGGTATCATGAAAAAGATAAACCCAGCCTTTAATATTTCTGTAGATATTCGAATATATTGACACTTTCAAAAATTGTAACATGTTAGCAAAAAAAATTGCAAGAATTGCAGAAGTATGCAGGTCACAAAATGGCTTGAACCTTCATCATTTTTTCTGCTAACATGTGAATCCATGGATTCGATACATTTTCAAGTTGAATTGATGTTAGTTCATTTTATTATAATCAATTTTGTATAAAAAAGTTGGGTTTACAAAAAAAAACGTCATCTTCAGAAAGTTTACTAATTGCAATTGAACTGGAAATCTCCAGAATTGAATTTAAAAATAACATTGCTATTTATTGCACCAGTAACATTTACTATCATTCAAGATGAAGTTCACTAATTTATCTAAAGCATTTAAGGCGATAGAACTGATTCTTTCTTGAAATTTGTTGTCCAATACCACTGTCGGCACGTGGGCCAATTTTGGTTTCAAGGAATAAGTTTTCTTGCCGTTTGCAGCAAGCAACTCATCGGCTTTTCCAGATTTCAAACAGTTTTGTATTTCATCCCAACTAATATTGTTATCAGCTGCACACTAAAAAAAAAGAAGTTGAATATTTAGTGAGAGCGAGGTATATTGAATATTGAGATTCAGGTACTTTCAATAAGTGAATTGACTTCTGACAAATGAGAACCAAATTTTTGAAACACCCCTTTAATATTATGATATGTTCATCATTCTCTTAATAGTAACTGCTAACACGGGTAACGATGATAAGGGTGGAAAACAAACACGAGATAATCTCAGGGTTGGAGATTGAGACCATTTGAATCAAAGAATAAAAGTATACTCTTGAGCTAGTAATTTTTTATACGTAAAATCATGAACAAAATTTGGTCCCCGAAGAAAAAGCAGGATATAGTACGCACATTAAGTAACGCATTATCTAACTATCACCAAAATTAATAATATTATTGAAAATTCCTGGAACGGAATGATTGTTGAATTTGATTTACCATCATGTTCAAAAATAAATTCGTGTCCCTATATTAGTTTGTACAGATCCTTCAATAGATGTTTGTTATATTGTTCTGGTCATAATTTGGGTCGTACAGAATTTGTTTACCTCTTACAATACAGTACTTTACATTTGCATAAAACAAACATAATTAGCTGTTTCTGTGCCCTTGTAAACACTGCTAGCAGGCAAGATATCCGATATTTTAATACAGCTATTTTCGTACTATAGATTTCAATTACATTACAGCTGATTGTTGTTACAAGATGTTGCGGCCACTTCGATCCTGCTGTTCGTGTGGTTTTAATTTTTTCCGTTTTTCACAAAAAAATGAATCTTTTCACCCTGCTCAGTTTGTTTCTTCTTTGACAACCAAAGACGCATATGTTATCATGGGTGTAAATAAGCACTATATATTCATTGTAGCCAGAATACATCATGTCCAGGTCAGACCTACAACTTTCCACAAGTATGTCTGCCTTGTATAACGTGTACCTCCATATATCTTTTCAGTATGTCTGAGATTTAGTTTCCCTTCCTGATATTCAACTCTCTTCGATAATCGCATCTCTGTACCTGGTAATTGTAGATGTCGATTTCGATTATCTTGATCTTCTTGGCTGATGCTACTACGATCAATTTGAATGAATTCATGAAATACCCATTGTTCTAGATTTTATCATAATAATCGAATCCTGCTACGTGCAGATTCATGATGGGGAGTAATGGGGTGAATACCAATCCGTTAGCATATCTTGGCCATTTTGCTATCAGGGATATATCTGAATATATCTATATTCTCCTCATAATCAGCAAATTCTACAGCTTGGTAACTTCCATTCACTAGGACATCCTAGAATGGTTACTCCTCGTTGTAAACAATCCAATATGTGAACTCGGTGTTCGGGGATCTATTGTTAAGAGTTGAAACAGGCATATATCTACCTTTTATGTGGTAGCCACTTTATGCAAATGCAAATTGGATACGATTTTCACAAGGCACATTCTGGAATATTTGTCAAATTCTTATGAAAATTGATGCAATTGTCATTTTGAGTATTTTATATAGATACACTTTGTCTTTTACTCTAGTTAATTTGAATGAATCGTTCAAAAGCTGTCACGATAAGATTAACTTGACGCAACGCAGTAACCATTACGCGTCGCGTCTACTGTAAGACGACAGGGAAATATGCGCATGGGTAGAGGGGCGTTCTAAGCAATAAGGCGCCATCGCCGAAAAAATGACCCAAACGCGAGCAGACGTCGTTGATAGTTGCAAAATTTCTTCATAAGTAACATAATTTGATCCTCGCAGCTATCCATTACTCATTGCAGTTGGCATATTTCTCAGATACTACATTTTTTTGGGTGAAAGTATAAATTACTAGCTGTTGCCTGTGGCTTCGCTCACCTTTAATTTGATTTTTCACATTAAGTTTCGTGACAGACCCATTTTAAACAATTAGTTACAATATTTTATTATCAACTCAAAACTTCAGGTTACCAACTTCAAAACTAACGAAATTCAATACAATTTTTGAACCCCTATTTTCTCCCTTCTGGGTGCACATTTCTGATTCCATTTCTTGATGCTTATTTGAGCTATGCAAAGAACCTACCTGCATATTCAAAGATTCTAGGTTCAGTAGCTCGCCTGTACGTTAATATAAGAGTGTCAGTCAATTAATAGGTACCCAAATATACACATATGAGTTTGATTCTGAACATCCGATCAAGTATTGTGATATATACATGCATATACCTTCATTTATGAATTATTCCCTGTGAAAATTACCCCCCGGAAATTGAAAAATTACCCGTTTTCACACAAAATTTGGAGATCCCGTTATTTAGACGTGAAAAATTGAAAAACCTAAATACATACACTACATTCATCCATCATCACAAACTTTACGCATTTATAATATTAGTAGGAGTAGGATCAGTAGGATTACCAATGTATTTCATTCTAATTGTATCAGTTTTTCTGCCGAAGCTACTGAACCTAGAATCTTGGAATATGCAGGTAGGTTCTTTGTATAGCGTAAATGAGCATCAAGGAAGGGAATCAGGAATTTTCACCCCCAATGGAGAAAAATAGGGGTTTAAAGATTGCATTGAATTTCGTCAGTTTTGAAGTTGGAAACCTGAAGTTTTGGGCAATCAAAAAAATATAGTAACTATTTATTCAAAATGGTTTGTCACGTAACTGAATGTGACAAATCAAATTCTACGCGAACTAAGCCGCGGGCAACAACAAGTTAGCTATAAATTGAAACATTGCCGTGCCTACGCGCTGTCTTCAGGAACAGTTGTTGAACAGGAAACAATTGTGTTTGTTACAGATTCTTATCAGTTGTAGGTATGCTGTTTTCTATTCATTCTCTCTGAGATCATTGACCTTCAGAAGATACCTTGGAAACTAGAATAAATAAAATGCTATTAAAATCTCTTCATCTCGCAACTTTACATCCTCAATTCTATCAATGAATTAATTCTATCAATGAGTTCATGTGAATCGACAAAACTTGAACGTAAAAATTGTGAGTGTAATTTTCACTTCTGAAACCATCTTAGGCAATAGATTCCTTGATATTTCATCAGATGGACTGCTCTCAACTGAATTATCAGGTATATCATAATGATTTGACTCATCCAATATAACAACATCATTGCTTTCGTCTGCTTTCAGATAGAAAATATTTTTCTTTCAAACATCTGATAATTTTTCTTTATTTTTCTAGGCGAAATCATTGATGTTTGTCTGAAAATGTACGCTGTAGAGATTAGTCTTGGAGTTAGGAATTAATATGCTTTTTTATCTCGTGAAGACGCCAACATGGTTGGTGAAACGCTCCTCACGTAAGTGTTGCAGTTCTGGTGAACAAAAGATGTTCAACCACATGAGTTGCTGTTACCTTTTTCAAAAATTGGTCCGCAGTAGCATCATAAGATTCCATAGAACACATTGCAAATCTTATTCCTTGCTCTCCTTGTGCCAAATCAAGAGCACAAGAGTGTACCTTATTTCCATAACACTCATCCGGTCCATGTTGACAAGTGAAACTCAATTTTCCGTCTTTCTCCGTAATCTAAAAAATATTCCATATAAACTGAAAAACAATAAGTACGTTTCGTGTTGGAGTAAGACATTTTGTATTCTTTAAACGACATTTTTTGTGGGGGACTTTATATTTTATACTGTTTCTATACTGAAAAAATAAAAGCTAAGGGCAAACTGAAGAGTTCACCCTCAAAAATTACCGGGTAATATAAACCACTGAAAAGTTCAATTAGTATTCATAAATTTTGCCTTGTGTCAAAAGAAATTAGAGCTATCACAGTGTGGGCCAAGACTTCAATACTGAATTGCAGGTTTTGAATACGAAAAAGGATTATTTTCCAAAATGTCAACTACTTAAGGGAGCTAAGTGATAATATTCAATTCTTTCTTCAATTTGTAGATGAATTGACTAATTGACCTTTTCAGTAGTTTATATTACGCAGTAACTTTTCGAGGTTAACTTTTCACTTTGCTTTACTACACTTCAGCAGATTCACTATTGATTTAGCTTTTATTGTGGAAGGTCATAAACCCCAAAAAAATGAATAAAAGACATTAGAATAGAACTGGCCGATACTTGATGAAAATCCATATCAAAAACTAATTAATACAGTTCATTGTATGATTTTCACTATAAAGGGTTTTACAAAAACCGCCAAACGTTTTTCGCTATGCAATAGCTTTCTCAAGCATTGTATAGAGAAACACGTGTAGCGATTTTTGTATAATCCTTCAAAGTGAAAAACATACAATGAACTATAATAATTAGTTTTCAGAAGATATTTTGTGTCTGATATGTGAAAAAAACATATACATATTACATATTACTGGACAAGTATATACATATGTCTCACAAAAATATCAAATGAGTATTGTTCATTTCAAATACAAAATTCCTCAAGATTACTCTTGAATAACTCTTTGAAAATGATTGACAAAGCTTTNCTGAAAATAGTCTGAAAATATAAAACAAACTTCTAGGTTTGCATTCATGAATTCACCTCAGGTGAATATGCACAGTATAGCAGAGAATGATTGAGGAACACATTGCGGAATAATACTCTGAATACACTAAACTGCGTTTGTGGAAAATTCAGAGAACTCTGAGTGAATTTAGGAAAACAACCTAGCTAGTCCAGATAAGATACATTGTTTTGTGTTTCTGCTCAGTGATTTTTCTATAGTATTCGTTGAATTAGCTAAAATTCAATGACTAGAAAAACAAATAGTCTGTCAAATTTTCAATAATACGTTGAATTTTTCATATTCGTTTACATCAGTGAAAGTAAGCGGGTGTAAAAGTTATGTAGTTCTATTGTTCCCTGGGGCATTATAGTCATTCAAAAAAATGTTCACTACATATTATAAATTCTTCCTCCCAGCCGTGTCTGTATGTCTCTACTGAATGGATTTTCATACGGTTTTCATCAGTGGATTATGTGTTAAAAAGGAATGCTTATGTATATAATTTATGAATATTCTAAGTGAATTCATTGATATATGACATCATTATATATCTTTTGAAGATGGTTTACTGTACCAATTTCAATGTTTGAAATAATAGCGTCCATGGAAAACGTAGCCTGATCCTTTTGAGATATAACAAAACAATCCATTGCAAATTGGTTCTTCTTTGTGTGTCTACAAAAAAGTCTTGAATGGTATAGGTCAATCTTTCAAGAATGGCCTATTGAAACCATGTTAAATATGATGTTCATATAACGTGGTAACTGAAAAGCTATGTAGACCGAAGCGATATCAATCCTCATCAAATGAATACGTGAAATATAACTTTCGGATGTCAAAGTCCTTTTTTTTTAAATTAATTTTAATAACAAAAATAGATGTTAACAGTGTGAGAGCAAAATTATAACTGAATTACAAAAGTATTCTTCCCATGAAGATAAGAATGCTTGCAAATCAGTTTCCCAGAATCGCGAGATTCTGCTTCAGCATGGTCAGCGGTTCACATGGGAACGAGCGATATAATTCCTCCCCCTGAAAATTCAACGTAGGAGGGTCAGCGAGGAAGTTGAACCCTAGACATCTCGATATCTTGACTTGGTTCGGATGGTCCATTGGTTTTGCACCCTCAGAAGCCAATCTTCTTGTGCACTAGGTACAAACAAATTGATACTAGGACCAAGTAGATAAACATCGTCCAAAAACTTGGGATATGTGCTACGTCTCTGAAAGATATAATCGGTTCATTTTCCATTATTGCTGTTTTTATTGAATGAAGTTCGTCCAGGTTCAGGTCATCAAGTTGGATCCCTATTGATTTGGGTGGCTCTGG